TGCAGGATCCTTTTCTTTCTCTGCAGACTCCTCCATGCTCCTGATGTTGATTTTGCTTGAATTTTGGGCCTTGCTCATCTTTTCACTCAACTAAAGCTATGCCAGTTTTAAGCACTTGGTAGTGAAGTAACTGAAACTACCACTTTTATTGTGATAACTTCCTAATCATCTCCATTTTGGACTTCATATCCAGCTGGACATCACTTCCAACTGATATGTCTAAAGTTGAACTTATTTCTCTTCTTTCAATCTCTACTTTCTCCCCAGATCTAAAAGTGCCAATTTTCCCATTATGTTCTATTCTGGTTAATGCTATCTAAAGTAACTTTTGGGAATTACCAAGATTCCTACACTTGCTTGCTAGTCTCTCCAGATTTGGAATTTACCTACAGTCCTACAATTTCCTTTCTCATCTTTATTCACTTACTCCTCTCTCCTCATTATCTCTTCACTCTCTCATTACTGCTACTCTTTGTGTGCAATTATCTTCCTTTGCCTTTATTATTGCAAATTTATAGCTTTCCACATTGACTAAGAACATCTTTCAGAAACAAAATCTGTTTATATCCTTTATTTTCACTCTCCAAAGCCAGGATAAATTCCAAATTTCTTCCTATCCTAATTCCACCACCTCATCAAGCCTAATCTCACAACAATCTCTTCTTCCACATTTGATTCCAGTCATATGTCTTCAAATATGTCAGATTACTTCATACTGCAATGTCAGAGCTGTTCCATATGAGTGTCTCTCTCTCTCTCTCTCTCTCTCTCTCTCTCTCTCTCTCTCTCTATATATATATATATATATATATATATTTATATTTCTACACACACACAATACAATTCCAACACCCAGGCTCAACCCAATCACATCCTTAGGTTATCTCCCTTCTATTCCTTGCCCTGAGTCATTGAGACTAACTTGATCATTCTCTTATTGTGCTGATAATAATTTGTGTTGAATAAATTCTGCAGAGTTATGCCTCTAAAAAATAAGACAGTAATGACTAAAATGATACTTGAGCTATGTCTTAGTCATAATGCATGTAATGATATTACTTGCTCTATTTAATATAGTATTGAGGCTATTATAATTTACCCCTAATTTGTTTTTTATTTGTTTTTATTTTATTTTTTTATTTTTTTTAATTTTTTAAATCAATCTTTATTGTTCATATTATTACAAAGGTTCCTCATTTCTTCCCCCCTCCACCCGGTTCCCACCCCACCCTCTGCCCCCTCCCCATCCCCCATTGTCCTCATCCATAGGTGCAGTTTATGTTCAGTCTCTTCTTCCCTCCCTTTCCCCAATAGTAAATCCCTTTTCAGATAGTAAATCAGTTACTTAGCATTTTCTCATATCAATAATACCTCCACATGCCCAATGATACACTTCACACAAAAGACATTTCCCAATAGGTCCACCAGCCTCATCCAGGCCCCACCCAAGGCACTCACAGATCAACACCCCAGTCCTAAACTAACTCAACACATCCAGATCTAAGCCTTCATCACTTGATTCAGCAGACCCTCAAGTTCCCATGAAAGTTTCCAGCCATGTCTGAGAAGCAGCTGTGGGGCAGGGGCAGGCAAGGAGCGAGCTGTTCTCGGCCTGGCTGCTCAGGGCCTGGCCTCTGTTGCTCTGGTTCATTCCACAACCAGCTGCTCCGGGTCTGGTCACTGCCGCTCCCGACCTAGTTGCTCTGGTCTTGGCTGCTGCTGCTCCGAGCCTGGCCACACCCGACCTAATTTGTAATAACCTACATATTTTAAATAGTTATGGATGGAGAGTTGATTTCCAATGGCTACAGTTCTATTGAAATGCTATTATCAACCAGTTAGAGTGTTTATACATATAAACCTTTGCTAGGTTTATATGTATAACTCACATTTTTATTACCCTGTTTTTGAACATATTAACTATTTAGAAATACAAATCATGAAAGCATGAAGATCTGATTATTCATGGCATATTACAAATATCATCATGTATATAACAGGGGCAGACCCTGGGTATAGTTCTCCTGGATAAGAAGATGGGAGAGTCAGCTTTACATATCCCTTAACTATAGAAAGGCTGATTTTCAGTAATAGGTATATATATATATATATATATATATATATATATATATATATATATATATTTAACAAGTCACATGCCAATATTAGGTCAGCTTAGATTGGCTTCTAATCTTGGATCAGTTTAGAAATTGAAGACCTTCCTACTCAGAGACCTTGTAAAGATAAGACAGGAATTCTTATCAAGGGATGCATAGCTTTCTCTCCAGCTAGCATTGTACAACTTTTAGGAAAGCTGCCTTTCCCCATTCATATAGTTTGCAGATTCACAATGCTTGTGTTGGATAACTTTACCATTCCAAAGAGATTTAAATACCATAAAAATGTTCTTCAACATCCCCAAGTCTCATTTTTATATATGTTTTCAATCAAACATGGACCCCATTCACCTTTTATGTACTTACATTTATTTGATGTCTAATATATGTTGTTTATATCTAAACATTTATCCTCAAAAAGAACTTTTATAAATAAAAGACTAGCACTTTAAATTATTAAAGAAAACCTGATAAAAACTGCAAGATGAACAAACATATTACATGCTTGTTTTTTCAAAGGGTATGTTGCAAATTTACCTCTTACTCCACTGATGGTTTTTCATTCATGGTGATGGTGAAATGTAGGAGTGAAAAGCTTGGGCTCCACAGCTAGACTGTCAAGATTCAAGCTTTTGCTTTGGCTTTATTATTTATTAACTTATTAAGCATTTTACTTTGGCCAATCTTTTTATCTGTTTCTTCATCTGTAAGAGGGGAATTATAAAATTTATCTTTTTAGGGTGTATATGAATTAAATGGGCAAGTTCATATGAAGAGATTAGAGTAGAATCTGCTCCATAGTCAGCTAACAATAAGTGCTGTGTCATGATTTTGTATATCTACAGATTATAAATGCACATTATACAGCTAAAACTCAGTTCATTAATTTTTTCAATATCCTTTCAATCACTTACTCAATGTTGAATTCTTTTATTCATTAAAGATTTGATGATTGCCTATTAAATATTAGGCACTGTATTGATTATATGAAAGATAAAATATTAGATATGACCCTGCTTTCTCAACAAATATAATATGGTAAAGTGATGAAAATATATAAAAATAAGATCTTTAGATGAAGTTGTTCAAGAGTATTATATATTAATATTTCTTCAGACTTCAAGGCTATGTTCATAATTATAAACAATATTGATTGCATATTATGTCTTTAATAACAAGTAAAACAAATTGCGTTAGTTTTTCATAGCATCTCTAAAACAGGAAGCTGGTGGCAAAGAGAGAGTGAGATCACTGAGTCCCATCCCAAAGATACCACATTTAGAAGCCTTTTGACAGAGCTTCACTTCCAGATGCCTGTGTTATGGTCCCCAGAGTAAAATGAACACTTAAATAAGTGTCATTGTTTCTAATTTGTTGCATTCATGAATGCTTCAATTTTAAATATCAAAATGTGACTTAGAAATTTAAATAGCAAAAACTTAACATATTATTAAGTCTTAAATTTTCTTTGCTTTTATAATTCAGTTATTCTTTCAGATTCTTGAATATTTAAGCCGTTTAAAATATTAATAGCATACCAAGAAATACCAATATTTACATTAACTTGAAATTCACAGTACTCAATAATATTTTCAGTGCTTTATATTATTCATAATTACACTAAATAAAGCATCCTCATGGAAGGAACTCAAACAATATAAATGCCTATTGCACAACAAGCAATGCTTTTCTTTCAGAGTGGAGATAATAAAAATAAAAATATGAAGTAATATTAAGCTGGAAAAACAAATGAGGTAATATTTGAAAAGTGTATATAAAGCAAATAATTTTCAAATGACTTTTTTTTTAATTAACAACAAACTGATATATATTTAACATCAGAGGTTTCTAAATCATGATAATTCAAAGTTTACAAATCATAAAACTTCTTATTATAGGAAATTTTAAGTAGTAGGACTATTATATATCCCATCCTCATTTCTTCAAAATGGAAATGATCATGTCTGTGATAAACTAAATAATATTTGCATTTTCCAGAGACAGCTTAGGATCATAGGATGATATCATATATATAGACATCAGGTTTCAATAAGAATATAAGAGATAAGGATGATTCAGCTTACTGTGGAAATGAAAATACAGTGAATTCTCTGTCATCTCCTTTCAACATTTTGAAAAACATTTCATTTACAAATCAGGAATACCTAATGGTTACAACATTTTTTGTTGTTGATTCAGCTATTAAAAAGCACTAAAATGAATTGCAGGAGGAAACATTATAATAGGTTGCAGACCCCTCAACTCATCCTTGTGTTGGCTCTTCTGTTTTCATTTCTAGCCCTTAGAAACTAAGACATATACTTTATTATAAATACGGTATCTATTTTAGTAACATCATAAGTTGTATTCTAAAATACACTTTTGAGTAAAAATGTTCTCTTTATAGATAAAATATTTTTTATGTCATCATTTACTTACTATTTCATTGTGTCTATGGCGTATGAAATTCTTACAATTTCAAGATGAGTGTCTAAAGAACATCAACCAAGAGTAAAACCAACCCAAATGAATCCATGTTTCAAGATAATATAACATGTTTTAAAAGACAAAACGAAAAACAAAGAAAACCTCACTAAACTAAATCTCTTTAGTCAGAAGACATTTTTCAGTGGATCTTATTATATATGCAACTTTTCCCCTTTTCTCATCTCTAAGACATTTTTTTCTAAGCATATGTAGACTTCTATAGAGATTATAAAATTCTCAAGCACCCATATTATTTTAGGGTCAAGTTACTCTGTGTACAGAATATGTCACATCAAGTTAAGTTCTAAAATGAACATACTCTATCATGTTTTATCTCTACTGATTGATAGAAGCCAAGAGGCCCATGGGGCATTTTGGCAACACTGTGTTACTTACGGTTGAGAGGCAGGCTCGCATTGGTTGTGCCTAGCTTGTTGGCAGCCACACAAGTATAGTTCCCGAAGTGCTCCTGTGTCACATTGGTAACGGTGAGAATGGATCTTGTGCTAAAATTTTGAATGATAATTCCTTGTTGGCCATTGAAGAGCCTACAAGACAAAATAAACTATAGGTAAGTATATATTATAAGTATCATTTTCGTTTTTATTTTAGATGGGGCTGTAATGACAACCCATAGTAGACAGTTTTGATTATTGGCATTGGTATATAGAGTGATAATGTTGCAATTATATTTTCCTTTTATTAATAGATATTAGTAAAAGATGCTGTAGACTGTTCTTATGGGATTATTTGCACTATTTAACAAACTGAGCTTAGATATACATGACCTATTTATATATTGTTTTGTATTTTAAAAAATTAAACGTATCAAAACAATGGCATCTTATTTGTTAAAGTCAAGAAAGAGTAGGAGAAGTTAAATATAGAGTCCATTAAAAGCACAAACTGATAGTTTCTAAGTAAACTGGTTGGGACATGTCTAAACCAGTGGTCAGCAAACTCCTTAGTCAACAGAGCCAAATACCAACAGTACAAATGATTGAAATTTCTTTTGAAAGACAAATTTTTTTAAACTTAAACTTCTAATGCCACTTCTTCAAAATAGACTCACCCAGGCCATGGTATTTTGTGGAAGAGCCACACTCAAGGGGCCAAGAAGCTGCATATGGCTCGAGAGCTGTGGTTTGCCAACCACTGGTCTAGACCATTTCAGGTGATATTATTGAATAATTCCTATTAAAGTTAAACCTACAATGAGATAATGTGCTTCCATGGTCAACACCATTTTACTGCTGCCATGTACAATGAGACAGAAGTATAGTACTGAGGACAGTATTTAAAGTTGAGTCTTATTTCTGCCACATTTTAGGAAGATGCTTGTAACAGTCCTTTACCTTTTCTGGGCCTTAATATAGATTCATTTTTTTCAGATTCCATCTGGACTACCCAATAATCTCTCTCCAGACTACCAGCAGAGGTCCTCACTCTCACCCTGGCTGGCATAGCTTCATTGTTCTCACTGCTTGCTATGATCAGACCTGCTTCACTCTTTTCCTAAATCTACACTCAATAGCCATCATCTTTTTTTACCTCTGCCATCTAGAGCCTTACTTCCTCATTTAGGTCTAATCTAGTCTCATCTCTCTTTCTCTGATAAACCTTAAGTGAATCTCTTCTCTTTTACTCTGCATGTTTTTTACCAAATTGTTGCAGCATTTATAAAGCAAAAACCACATTCTTGAATTATTTTCTCCAGCAATTTCTATGAACACAGGTCTTTTCAACCCAAATAAACTCAAATTCCTCACAAAGCACAGCCATGTAGACACACTTTATATTTTAATCCTACATTGCACTTAATAGTGGTATCCTAAGTCCATAATTAATAGTTCAGAGTCAATGGAGTCTGGGTGATGTCCCAAGACCACAGGGATTGGTAAGCTTCTTTCAGTGCCCCTTCAAGAAATTCTCTCTCTTATTATGAATTCTGCTGTAATGAGGATGCCAATCAGTTAATAACTTCTCTTTAACTAGCCCCTCTGTTTATTGTGAAAAAGATGTGCTGACTACAATATGGGCTATGTAGGCCCACGTTAGTTTCACCTCTTAATGTGTTCAAGTTTTAGCACTAAATATTTCTTTAATTTTAAAATGCTAATGAATGGCATTACTTTGAGAGTCTAGATTGAAATCTTTACATTATGCTATGTGACTTGCATCTGAATTTAGGTAAGATACACTGCAGTTAAATGCAGATTGAAATAAGAAGTCACCCTTGATTACTCTGGGAATTACTTACAATTCATGTACTAGCTGGATTTGGCTTATCTAAAACTCAGACTTTAATCAGATTAGTAAAGCTTTGAGTTGAATAAAAAATGAAAAACATTAAATTGAGCAATAAACCTAATGATCTCGAACTCTGACACAAGAAAGTAGGGCATAAAAACGTGACCGGTGTGGTTCAGGGGTTGAGCATGGACCTGCGAACTCAGGGGTCATTGGTTTGGTTCCCTGTTAGAGCACATGCCTGGATTTCAGGCTCAATCCACAGAAAGGGTTTTGCAGAAACATCAGCTTGATCAATGTTTTTATCTCTCTATCTCTCTCCTCTCCCCCCTCTCTAAAATAAATAAAAATATATTTTAAAAAACTAAGGCATAACATATTAAGATGAGGCAGCTTTTACTTTTCTGTCTCATATTATAAAGCTATCAAAATTTATGCTAAATTCAGTGATATTGCACATTTTTCTGCATCACATTAATAACTTTGCCTTTAATGAATTAGTTTATGTCATTTATTCTAAAAAATTTCATCATTTTTAAGAACATAAGCATTATAGTTCAAATCAATTTGTTCATATTTATGCTATGGACTTATTTTCCAGAGAATTTAGCAACTCCCTAGACTACTAAACCCCATTGTACCCCATCTATCAAACCAAGATTAATTTTGTTGCTGGATAATTGAGAAAAAAATCAGTGTCTTCACTTGGCTAGACTCTAGGGAGAAAATCTCAAGGGAATATTGAGATTCAATATTCCCTTGAGTTACTTCAAGGCATTGTGGGCTTATGTTCCTTATGGCTGTCTTTCTAAGCTGGCTTGTAGTTCTCTGTTCTTTAATGCATCTGATGGCAAAGCCACAGATGTTGCTAAATCATGCATCACATCCATGTTCTGAATGCCTAGGCCCATTTTTGACTTCTGGCCAGCCGTGCACATCAGTGCTCCAACCCTTGCTGCTCACATCAGCCTGGCAGGTGATTATGGCTAATAAAAAAGAACAGGATCTTCCCTGGGTTGTTTCTTCCCTCTAGGGGAAGCCACCTCTCTGAGATTACTGGCGAGTTCACAGCTTCCTTTCTTTTGTAGTTGGGAGTTTCAGAAGTGCTGACTCCTCAAGCATCACTTCAGAACCTACCCTTGCCTGGTGGATGGCTGCGACAGCCTTGGCAGAGCTGACCTTGAGGGAGAGTGACTTCTGAGATGGGAGTGGACCTCTTAAGAGTGTATCTCTGTGATTTTCTTGCAGGTAACCATGGGGGTAATAAGGAACTTTCTCAGCTATATAAATTTTGAAAATAGTCATTAAAGTGCAAAAAAGATGAGTTCTGTGCTGTGATTAGGCACTAGGCTGGGCAACACATGTTCATTGAATATTTTTGAAGGCCCTTGAGAAGGTCAAAGTTGAAGATAAGAACCAGGTATATTAACAAGTGTTTACAGTGAAGGGTATTTTAATAACAAGAGAGACCCTGTTAAGATGAACACCTCTATTCTCAGTTATTGGATATAAAAATTTTAGCCACACCAGAAAGTCCTAACAATATACCTCTAATGTAATTTTACTCCTTTATAAAAAATAAATAATAGAATTCTTTGATGGATGGTACAGATTTATTTTTAGGAAACAGATTTATTTTAATATAGTATGATATAATTACATTTTCTGTAAAGAGAATTTTTTTTTACCAGTAAAAACATATAATTTCCAAATTGGATTGTTGTTATGAGTTAAAGAAAATGCTTGATCAGTTTAAGTCATGTACATATGAGCCTGTTCAGAGATGTTTGCAAATAATGGTACAACTTTCATCAGACTTTATTTATAAGGGAGTAAGATACTCATATGTTATATAACCGAATATAACTCATTCTAGCCCCAGAGATTTTTTTTATATCAATTTCAGACTTGTATGAAACCAGTGCATCAGTGATGTGAAATCTGAAGTGGTAACTCAAGAAATTGTTTATAATATACTTTTCAATAAAACCAAAGAACCAAATTCAGAACATTGCCTTATTTGGAGATCTGTATCTCTTTTCCCTAAACAGTTAATTCTTTCAAGTTCTAAAGAAACCATTTTTGTGTTGACTTAGATTATAGAATGAGACACTTTTTTCTCATAGTCCTCCTTCCCCCAAAAGAGAGAGAAATTAATTTTTCTGGACTAGGGTTTAAATATGACATTTTCCCCCTATAGCAATAGATTGATAGCATATGGTGCTTTCTTAGAAATGTGTGGCCATTTTTATTTTTTTCCACTTTTACCATTCAATGGACCTCATGGCTATATGATTCTTCTATTACTATGGTCTCCTACCCTCAGTCACCAATAGGAGTTTGTTCCATACTGCTATAACCTGGATGTGTGTGTCCTCCAGAGTTCATATGTTGAAATCACAAGGGAGTACACAGCAACACCACAGAGCAAATTTGACCACATAGACATTGGCACTGATTGCTAAGATTGTGGAAATAAATGGACCAACTTATACCAGAACTCATCTATTTTATCTTTATAAAGTCAGCCTCACTACACATTTTGAGCATTTTATTTATTATCTGCCTTTCCATGTCAGCACTAACAATAAATATTTCTAGAGATCTAACTTTCAGCTGCAAATAGTCACGGAAAAGCTCCATTGCTAATATAAGAAACATAGATGAGACTATCAGATGACAATATTTATAATATTAAAATAACTTGGAATAGGAGTGGTAGAGATGTTTGCAAATAATGGTACAACTTTCATCAGACTTCATTTATAAGGGAGTAAGATACTCATATATTATGTTATATAACCGAATAAGATAAATTCTTATTAATTGATCTTTGGGTATTAGCATAGCATAGATGAAAGACAATTCTTAAATCATACAAGTTATTTTTTACAGAAAGAAATGCAACTTCCAGCAATGGAGTATATATTTGAGGCACCTCAAGAAGTGGTATGAGCTAAATATATAATTCAAACAAAGAGATTTAGAAAAAGTCATGGGTAATGGTGAGGCAGGTTAGTAAAAAGAAAGGAAAATTCCCTGGCAAGTGGAATGCCAGAACAGCTGAGCAATTAACAGCCAGCTGATAAATCACAAGACTCTATTCTACTCTCTAACCAAATATATCTAAGAGCAGGTAATTTAAGTCACCTTAATCAGGGTGTTAAGTAATTAAAAACAATAACACAGTTAGAGCCAGATTAATCCAAGATAGAGATGAAACTAACCAATGTGCTCATTTTAATACATCAGCATACCAAACGACATGCCCAGAAATCTAATGAATATTCTGTTGATA